GTTTCATTGTTAAAAAAAAGCATACGAAACGACTGTTACCAGTGGGTTAGTATATGAATACTTATGAATTTTCTATAATGTTGATTGTTGATGAAGCGAAGGATAAATAACGCACATGTTTATTTGTTTAATTAAGAAACTCGGAAGAGTCGATTAGCCTGCCGAAGACAATGGTGTATACTTTAACCCCCCCAAAAAAAGAAGACAATCGTGTATAAAAGATTTTCTTCTGGCTTTTTTGTTAACTGATCAAGACATGCTCTTTACAAAGTCAACAGAGGCATGTAGACAGTTATAATAGAAACACAAAAGTCACGTTAGCATTATGTCATTTTGACTCCTATTTAAGATAGAAACACAGATCAGATGAATATAAACGACTTAAAACATCCATTGTTCATAACCATAAAATCATCCATATATTGATTTGATTTGGCTCAAAACCTAGGCCCAAAAATAATACTTCAGCTGAAACCTAAACGAGATACCGTTCTACTGCAAGTAACTTGTGATCAGATTCAAAACATATCAACATATGTAACTACGTTTATGTCTATTGCCTTGTAAACACAGTAGATGAGCCACTAATAAACACAAGTTGTTCGGAATTGATTTTAAAATTTAGTGAAGACATAGGAGTGAGTCAGATATCCATAAAGAACAATATGATAATATGTAGAAATTAGGTCTGATTCATTATATTTAGAATATATAATTAATAATTTGATTATATATATAAATGTCATTTATGCAGTATGGGAGACAACCAAACATACACACACAAGTGGCACTACTTAGTGATAAGTGAATCTGAAATTAGTTTTGTTCGTATGTTCGATATTCACGCATATATATCGGTACGTATTACAATTAAAAAATCCCCGATTACTTTTTGTTTGGTCACAATAAGCCCCAGATGTTGTGTAAACGTATATATGTTGATAAACGGATCGCATGTCAGTATACCATCTAAACGGAAACTGTTATTATTTAGTGGTCGATACGTTTTAAAACTTCTTAAGACTATTACTCACCAATAATCGTCAAAATATGTTAATTGTCCGTAAAATTATAGATTTAGTACTTGCGTTTTTTCTAAACCGATAGAATGGTGTGTTGTAAATGAACTATATCAATCATAAAAGAAATGATGAAACTGTAACAAAGAAAAATACCATTTTCCAGAACATCTTAAATATTAATGTGGTTCTACTATATTGTGAATTATCCAGTTAAGAATTTGTATATGCAAATACTTATAATGACAATACAACTCAAAGCAACATAGAATAATGATAGATATACATAAGATGGAATTGATAGGTTAGGTTTGGGGCCCAACAAGTGAACTTTAGGACATCCTTCCTATGTGCAACAAACGCGGCTAGGTCTCATGAAATGCCTATAAATACGGACACATTCTCAAGCAACTCATCACACAACAAAATATTAAGAACAAGGAGTGAAATATGGCTAATCACAAAAATATATTCGTTCTATGTTTCTTAATAGGTTTAGGGTTATGTTCTGCAAGACGAGCACTTCTCACCTCCTCTGAATCCGAGGCTGATGTCGCTGCCTATGGCGAGAAAAGTGGTTTGAACGTTGGTTATGGTGTTGATGTTGGTGTTGGTGGTGGTGTTGGTGGTGGCGGTGGAGAAGGAGGAGGTGCTGGTTACGGAGGTGCTGCTGGTATTGGTGGAGGTGGAGGTGGTGGACATGGTGGTGGTGCTGGCGGAGGTGGTGGTGGTGGTCCTCGAGGAGGATCTGGTTATGGAGGTGGAAGCGGTGAAGGTGCTGGAGCTGGATACGGAGGCGGAGAAGCTGGAGGGTATGGAGGAGCTAGTGGACATGGAGGAGGTGGAGGAAGCGGAGGAGGCGGAGGTGGAGGAGCTGGTGGTGCACATGGTGGTGGGTACGGTGGTGGACAAGGCGGTGGTGCTGGAGGAGGATATGGAGGTGGAGGTGCCGCTGGACATGCGGGTGGTGGAGGCGGTGGAACTGGTGGTGGCGGAGGAGGAGGTTATGCCGCCGGAGGAGCTCATGGTGGTGGTTACGGAACCGGAGGTGGAGCTGGAGAGGGATACGGTGGAGGTGGTGGAGTTGGAGAGCATGGTGGTGGAGGAGGAGGAGGTGGTGGTTCAGGAGGTGGAGGAGGAGGTGGAGGAGGATATGCTGCTGCTGGATCTGGTCACGGTGGCGGTGCTGGTGGTGGAGAAGGCGGTGGCGTCTATGCACCGTGAAATCATATTTTTATGCACTGAGTGAAAGTGTCATAACTCGTAAGAGACTATATATCTTTAATATATACACAGTATGTGGTAATAAATAGACTAATCCTTCGTATAATAAGCCGTAAAAAGGCGGCTGTTGTTGAAGTTTTAAAATTGTACCAGTATTGTAAGCTACTTCGTTTCGTGTGTTCTAAGTTGTTATAAATGAAGATGATCGATATCATAATTGTTCATAATTTCGGTTTATATATGTATTTCCTATTTGAAATGGTTGATGTGTAGTTACATCCGGTAGGTTGATATCATTCTGCGTTCAAACGGTCGTATACCGGAACAAAGTTCATTTTGTTACATCCGGTAGGTTGCTATATTTTTCTTTCATGTTTTCTGAACCGCACTTTCAACTACACATAGGAAGGTTCAAATGTACTTTTATTTTATCGAACAATACAACTATATCAAAAATATATAATTTCAAACCCTTGCAGTTATATGTTTTATATGTTTCTACAACGTTTGATTTGTCTGATCCATATGTTTCATGCTGGCCATATTTGTCCCATATATACGATCAGGTTATGCACTGGAGCGAATATAAAATTCGGTTTGAACTCAAATCGGATTTTTTTTTTTCCCTACCCCTTTTTGTATGAAAAAAAAAAAGCAGAGACAAAATATAAACGAATTAACAGTAAGGCCCAAACCTTTTATAAATTCGGGTCGACCCGTAATTGAGGAAGAATCAGATCCGACCCTAAGGTTAGCACTTTTAGCGGCATAGCGTCTCTCACCTTTGTCTGCTTCGGTCCCCGACGAGTCGCCTCTCGCAATCTCCCTCTCCTTTCCTCCGTCTCTGAAAAATGTCGGCGAGACCCGAAGGAAGTCCGCCGGAGGTTACACTGGAGACCTCCATGGGTCCCTTCACCGTCGAGGTATCGTTCTCCTTCTAGTATTTCCTTTTTGGCTATCGAGTAAACGTTCAGGCTACTACATTCATTGATAGCCCTCACGAACTGATAGATCTAGATTTTCATATTTGATTTCTCAATTCCGATGCATTCTTCTCGAATCCAACTTCTCCTTTGTGAAGATTTAAGGTTTTAGACGGTGTTTTTAGGGTTACAATGTTTTTGATTTGAAGCTCCTCTTATGTGAATTCCTTCAGATGTATTACAAACACTCCCCGAGAACTTGCCGGAACTTCCTCGAGCTATCCCGGAGAGGTTACTATGACAACGTTCTGTTTCACAGAATCATCAAGGTCCGTTGTTTCCTGTGTTTCCCAGTCTAACTTTTCGTTGTACTGAGATCATTGTGATGAATTTCAATGATTTTGATTATCAAATATCGTTTCAGGATTTCATCGTGCAAGGAGGAGATCCTACTGGAACAGGAAGAGGCGGCCAATCCATTTATGGGTACATCTCAATGTTTATCTAATTTTTGAGCCCTTCGTTAATCAATGCTTGCTTTGCTGTGTTGACTCCATGGATGTGCTTAGTAAACGAACTTGGATGATCAGATACTGCTTAAGCTCTTATGAAAGTCATATAGTTAAGTAGCTCCAGTAGGTTTTGATTTGATTACATTCAGTGCAAACAGATGTATTAGTTTCCTTTTCGTTTTTGATCTTTAGTCTACACTAAGAAAGATTCTGAATTTGGGCAACTTCTGAACATGGTCGACTCGCACAAGGTCCTGGAAGTCTCAAATTGGTTGAATTTGTCAAAAATGTTAAGCTGAAGTTGCTTCAGTCCTTGTTTTGTGTCTCCACTGATTTGTCTCATAGGCTTGAAACCCAAGGCTTCTACCTTATAGGTTCAAATGTTTCCATGTCGTATATTGTTTTAGCATCTGCCAAATTATCATATGGGTCTTTTGCTTTTTTTTCTCCATTTCCTAGTTCGAAGTTTGAGGACGAGATAAGGCCAGAGTTGAAGCACACAGGAGCTGGGATTTTATCAATGGCGAACGCTGGTCCCAATACAAATGGGAGTCAGTTCTTCATCACATTAGCACCAGCACCCTCCTTGGATGGTACTAAACACATCCCATACCGGTTTTAATTTTTGCTATGATGTTTTGAGATGCTATGAAGAGAATCGTTGGTTAATATCTTTTTGACATCTCTATCTTTCTTCTTCCAGGGAAGCACACAATATTTGGCAGAGTTTGTCGTGGTATGGAGGTGATCAAGAGGCTCGGTAGTGTCCAAACAGATAACACCGACAGGTAAAACCGTAAAAGTTACTCATTTGGAATCAACGAGAATTGACTCATTAAATTAAAAGTCTGTTTTTCTATTGTCAAATCTCAGGCCAGTCCATGAAGTGAAGATTCTTAGGACCAAAGTGATCGATTAGAAGCATTAGTAAACGATGATGACATGAAGAACTATAGCTCACTGTACTGATCCTTGTTACCATTGTGGACTGCTTTTGCTCTAGTGTTGTTGACTCATACTTTATCAAAAACAATTACAAGTCTGATTTTAAATCATGAAACTCACTCTGTCTTCTGTAATCTTGGTCGTTCGTTCCTATAAAATCATCTATCTTAGTTTCTCTATATTGAAATTGAATTTTACAACTTGTCTATGGTACAAAACTACAAATAGTCGAAAACTGAATTTATAATGGAATCAATGGCTACAATAAAAGCACGTCATCAACTTTTATGTCAGCGACTATTCAAGTTTCCAACTCACATCCTCTAAAAAGCTATCTCTCTCTCTCTCTCTCTGTGAAGGAAGAGAGACACGAAAAAATGGCTTTCGCAGCAGCGGCACTATTCTTTCCAACTCCATCAATCGTCCGATCACCGGTTAGCTTCCTTCACCGTCCCTCCAAACTTTGCCGACTTCTCCTTCCTCTGACTAATGGCGCAGCGAGTACCAGAATCGGTGGAAGCCGGAAAATTAAGAGGCAATTTGTAGTAAATGCTTTGCCGGTGGAGGAAGACGGCGTTTCTCTGGGTACCATGAAGCTTCCCGTAGACACTGATGTCGCGAGATTTGAAACCCTTCTTTTTCAGGTAAAATGTGAATCTATTAGCATGCAAAGCTGGAATAGCTCAGTTGGTTAGAGCGTGTGGCTGTTAACCACAAGGTCGGAGGTTCGACCCCTCCTTCTAGCGATATATCCCTCAAATTTTGCTCTGATTAATTTTCGTATGCAATTTTGTTTTTGGAACAGTGGGCGAACAGTCTATGCCAAGGAGCCAATATACCTCTTCCTGTTCCTCTCAAGGTAAATTCACTATCTGTTTGCGATTGATCAGTATTTAATAGACAAAACGTGCAAATTATATGTCAATAACTTTGGCTACCGATCAATTAAATTGTATTTTATTTTAAGATCTTTATATCAATTACGCATCAGATGTTGTAACTTAACTAATCAAACTAACAAGCCATTCTCCTTTTTATTTAAAAAAAAACAAGAGCAGGTGGATAGAGTTAGTGGAGGAGCGAGGTTAGGATTCATAGTGATGGAAGATGAAGGAAAAACTGATGTTCCGGTTTACATAGACTGTTTGGTTTACCAGAGCACAGAGAGCGGTTCAGGTTCAGGACCGGTTTTTCGAGCGACGCGTAATGGGCGGAAGAAAGATAAGGCACCTCCGGGTGAAGAAAGAATCATGCGAAGCCTCTTAGGAGCCCTTAAAAGAGCTGTTGAACTTGCTCGAGTCACATAAACTTCGACCATTATATTGAAATGTCCAGATCATTTCTCGCTTTATTTATTTTCTTTGCATTATCTCTCTATAAGAAGCAATCTGGTCGATAGTTCTTCATAAATACATATCAGGATCTCAAGTGAAGACGAACATTAGCAAGCAAGCTATTCACGAATATATTCAATTACCTTACAAGAATACCATCGAATGACAGTTTGGCCGAGTGGTCTAAGGCGCCAGATTTAGGCTCTGGTCCGAAAGGGCGTGGGTTCAAATCCCACAGCTGTCAAATATTTCTTTTTTAATTTTACATTGGCCCAAATTCGTCAAACGGCGACGTTACTGAGGCATAAAATGGTCATATGATATGGGCTGAACTTTTCTAGCCCAACACATAGTTCGAAACCCTAAACGAAGGCTTATGGAGCTCACTCAGTAGTCATAAACCCTAATATAAAATCGATTTCTGAATCTGCATCCCTTCTCTCTTGCCAATCTCTTTGTAGGCGGAAATTCAGGAAGAAGAGGCTCTTTTCATATCAGAGTTCATCTCGTACTTTTGTTCGCCCTGAATCATGGTAAGCATCGTCGTATGTACAATTTTTTCCCATATCACTGATTATCTCAGATTGATTAGAGTATATATGTGATGATTTCCGTTTTGTCCGATCTTAATCTCTGGTATTGTTATTTGGAAATTAGAAATCTATTTTTTTTGGATGAATTTATTAATCTAGTGAGCTAGCTTGTTTGATTTTTTTTTACGCATCAGATTGCTGTGATTCTATGTTTATGATCCAGCTAGATTTGAGGTGATGTAGGAAATTGGGTTTTTGCAATTATCCGTTAAATAATTGGTTATGAGATTATTGATTGTAGAAGTGTAATGGGATTTGGTGTTTTTGTATAGTCGAGGAGAAAGACAAGAGAGCCAAAGGAGGAGAATGTAACTCTTGGACCAGCTGTTCGTGAGGGAGAACAAGTTTTCGGTGTCGTCCACATTTTCGCTTCATTCAACGACACTTTCATCGTGAGTTTTGTGACGAAATTCTTCTCTAGCTAATAGAGTTTCCATGATCATGTATATGTGAAGCTAACATTATAAATTTCCAATTTGCAGCACGTTACTGATTTGTCTGGACGTGAAACTCTTGTCCGTATCACCGGTAAGCATCTATTGATTTGACTCTTTTGTTTCTGAATTCTGATGTTATATTGACTTTTGATTCGTTTACAGCATTGGATTTATTCTTGAATACACAGATTAGTATTTTTTCTGTCATTTTCTTATGTTCTTTTGAATTTGATTATAGGTGGGATGAAGGTGAAAGCTGACAGGGATGAGTCGTCACCTTACGCAGCCATGCTTGCTGCGCAAGATGTTGCTCAGCGATGCAAGGTACTTGCTAGCTACATACATGACCTAAGAATTTCATTAGAAACCTGTAAGCCCTCTTGTTCTTGGATGTGACTATTTTTGAACTAACGCAGGAGCTTGGAGTCACGGCCATTCACGTGAAGCTCCGTGCCACTGGTGGAAACAAGACCAAGACACCTGGTCCTGGTGCTCAGTCTGCTCTTAGAGCACTGGCTCGTTCTGGCATGAAAATAGGCCGCATTGGTAAGTTGCATTACCATAAAAACTTATCTCAGCTTTTTGTCTGGTCTTATATGTGTGTCTTGATCATTTTCTAACATTGTACTTGTTGTTGTTGCAGAGGATGTTACTCCCATTCCAACAGACAGTACCCGCCGAAAGGGTGGTAGAAGAGGAAGGAGGCTCTAAGTTTTTGGCCTTTTTGGGTCGTCTTTGTTTAACTCCATGTGTTTCATTTTGTCTGAACAATTATTTTGAAGTTTCTTTAGATTGTGGAATGAGTTTTGGAGTTTAATGCTTTTGTCAATTTGAACAACATTTTTTCTACTATAATGAGACTATGGCCTTTTGCAAATTACAATGTATGATCACTTCAGTTTGCTGCAAACATATATACGTAATAACTTTTGGTAGGGCAACAAATTATTATTTTCCATGAATAATTAATTAGAATATACAAGACTATGCTCAACAAAAAATTCACAGTACTACACGATTTGCTTAAGCTAAGTTAAATATGATGCTAATTAACCCTACACAGTACACATACAGCTAAATGTAAGGCCCAAACATGACTGACATTTGTGGCCCAAAAATGACTGACATTGCGGCCCAAACATTCATCTATTTTAAAGTTTTCATTTACATTTTAACCACTTATTTGTTAGGGAGTATCGAAATATCCAAAAATTTATGGGCTTTGTAATTGAGGGCCCATCATATCCATACCAAAACCCTAGAAATGTAGTTTAAATACTCTTCATTACGCCTCCTTGGCTTTTTTGAGATTTCCGGCGAAGAAGACGAAAGGGGAAGATGCAGATTTTCGTGAAAACACTCACTGGCAAGACCATCACCCTCGAGGTCGAGTCCTCTGACACGATCGACAATGTCAAGGCCAAGATCCAGGACAAAGAAGGTAACCCTTTCGACTGACTCTGCCTTTTACCTTTCTGAATTCTACCATCAAAATCTTCATCTCTGATCGATTCGGATTTTCTCTGTTTCAGGTATTCCTCCGGATCAGCAGAGGTTGATATTCGCCGGAAAACAGCTCGAAGATGGTCGTACCTTGGCTGACTATAACATCCAGAAAGGTAAAAACTTTTTTTCTTTCTTTCTCTTTGTGATCAGACTCTTTGGATTCTCCGACTTCAAGAAATGATAAATTAGTCAAATGGGTTTTTCATTCTTTAGCTGTAGCTTTTATGGTAATTCAGTTCTCTGTTTTTTTGGCTGTAAACAGAATCGACTCTTCATCTTGTTCTGAGGCTAAGGGGAGGTATCATTGAGCCTTCATTGATGGCTTTGGCTCGTAAGTACAATCAAGACAAGATGATTTGCCGCAAGTAAGCTGATTTATACAATCTCCTTCTCTTTGTTTGTTGATATTATTTAGTTTTGGGGAACATAGGTAGCTTCCATTGTAACTTGACTGCTACTTAAATGTATTGATCATTTTGATGAACCTTGCTTTCTCTTGGCTACTCACGAGCGTCGTTAATAGTTTTGCTCTGTGGATAAAGTAGTGTTTTGTTGTGGTTTAAGTAAATGTTGTTGTGAGATTGCGTCTCATGACGAGTAAACTTTTGGTTTAGGTGCTACGCTCGTCTGCACCCAAGGGCTGTGAACTGCAGGAAGAAGAAGTGTGGACACAGCAACCAGGTTTAGTTTCAGTCTCTTTGATTGTTTGCGTTTTGGCTTTGCAAATTTATTTTATTAGTCGTGATGATGAGTTATTACATTTACTAACGTCTGGTTCCTGATTGTTTTTGCAGTTGAGGCCGAAGAAGAAGATCAAGTGATCTGTTTTTCACCAGAAGCTACTTTCTTTTATGTTATATTTTTTGTGTGTTTTCCCTTCAAAGACATCTCTAGTGTTTTTACTCGAACTTGTTTCAATGAATTCTCATGTTAAAAAGATTATTAGCAAGTCTTTTTTATTACTATTATTATAATTCCAAAATCACCGCCTTGTTTTTTATTTACCTTTCTCTTGAATTTAAATCATATCGACTTAAACTAATAAATGGCAAAGAATTAAAATTCGATTTGAATATAAAGGAAAACCAAAGCCAAAGCACAAAAAAAGAAGATGTAAGATATGCTGCATCAATATATATATTTCGTTTCTTTGTCTCCCTCCCTCAAATCTCCTTCAACCTCTCTCGATCGAACCCTCCGGAGCAAGCTTTGATCTGATTCCGATTTCGAGTTGATAAAGCCTGGTCGTTGGCTTATTTCTGTCAGTTTTGATTATGATTTCTGCCGTTCTTGCAGGCATGGTTCAGAGAAATATCAATCCCGAGATGGCTTCATCATCCAGAGCCGAGGTGGGTTTATCATCATCCATAGCCGAGGTAGGTTCATCATCCACCACCAGAGCCGTGGTGTCCAGAGCCGAGACTGCTCCACAAAATTCGTCCGACAGTGAAGATGCCTTACGGTTTGGTGATGATGACGATGAATGCGAAGAAATCTTCCTTGCTATTGAACTGAGAAAGTCGGAGGTGAGACGAAAGCGATGGTCCTTGAAGTTGAAAGAGGAGTTGAAGCGGATGGGTTACAGGGGAGGTGTTGATGGCTTAACTGCTCTCTAAGTGAACGTACTTGCCCGTCGTCTGAAGCTCTCGCTGGTCTTTGCTTTTTATCTTTTGAAAAGAAATTCTTGCACCATTTGGCCATTTTTTTTTTTAATTATAGTTCCAAAATCACAATTTCTCTTCAATTTTAGCATATTAAAAAAATATATATCATCAACGTAAATTGCATCTAAGTAGCCAAGTTAATTGATAATTCGTTACAGTAACGACTTTTGGTTGAAGAATATGAGTTTTCCAACGACAAATTCTTATATGTATTATTATTGGCTTTGTGTCACTATTATTTATTGAGTTTTTTTTTGTTCAACATTCTTTATTAAGTTATTAGTGATGGTTAATAGACAATTTGTTATAGAAACACACTTTTTCGAAATTGATGATTGATTTCCAACGACAAATTCTTGATGTATTTGATGTTTAACATTATTTTTTTTATTTTATTAGTGATAGAAAGGTACAAGAGTCCATATATAAAGAAGTATGGACTTCCACTAATCAAATTGATGAAAACAGAAAATCCCAAAGTTTTCTCTAAACTCACATTTATCTCTCAATAATAGCTAATGAAGATTAAAAAGACAGAGAAAAATGCTAAATTAAACAGCACCATCGTTCATCTGCAAGGGCCTCTGCATGCTCCAAGCATCGAGACTCTCCACGTTCACAGTTTGTTTTCCATTGTTAAACACATACAAATGTGCATTCTCTTTTACTGCTTTCACTGGATACACTCTTGACGTTATCACCGTCTTCCCTAAAGCTCCAAAGCTCTCTACTACCGAGTTATCAATCTGTAAATTTTTTTAAAAAATCACATATTATGTCACATTGCATATACATAAAGCATGCAAAGATATCAAAGATTCTTATACGTACCAAACTTCTTAGAGAGATCCTTCCATCAGCTAGATCAACATCCACAAAACCAGCAAACGATGGTTTATACATCCTATCTTTAGCGAGTGGACCCCTGTCTTGCTTTAACGACGAACTGTAAAGAAAATTAATGTTTCGTTAATCAAATGAAAACCATATTATATATAGTATTATTACGTGTATAAGCATAGAGATCATGGGAACGTACGGTCTAGCATCGGAGCACATGAGAACTTTAGGCTTATTAGTGGAGGTGTCTTTGAAGACTCTAAAGAAGACAGGAGTGTATTCTTCCAAATCAGGAGTCGCTAATGTGATCAGACCAAAGGGTCCTACACCACCTGTCACATTCGAGCCTTTTACCTTACACAACTCCAGCGGTTTGAGCTTGAAGCTCGGGTCGAATGTCTCAGCTTTCTCTAGACTTCCAATGTTGAATGTCACTTCCACATCGGCCTGAGCAGGAGTGATTCCTTTGACTTCGAAGCGTTGACCCATCTTGATGTTTTTGTTGTTCATTCGGATGTAGTTACCTCTTAATGACTCTATTTCTTCAATAGGCCAAAACACTAGTTGCTTCTTGTTTGAGTCAAGAAGCACCGTTCTTTGAATCACCTTTAGTTACCAACAAATTAAACAACTGTTAAGAAAATTTTGAAAATGATGGTTAAATTATTGGTTTAGTTAAGAGAGATAACCTGAAGACCGGCCCAGCCCTTGGAAATATCATCTTCAACGGTGTCGGATTCATTGGCCCAACCCCACAAGATTCTTCTGTTCTTCTTGTAGTCAAAGAATGTCTTGGAGGCGTAGAAATTACCGTAATCGAATCTTAGACCGTCCCAACCGTCGGGTGAATTACCATCCGGTACGTACCGGTCCTTCTTGGGATCGTATTTGCCAAGCGTGTAATACTCGTACCGGGTTATGTCCAAGCTAACTTTCAAGACGTGCTTAGTGTTTGGACCAACGTAATCCAAGTCTAACCCGTTCTCGAAATCGGTTGTGGAAACCGGGAAGAAATCAGGACACTCCCACATACCGGTTGACTCTTTCGAGTGAACCGGGTGCTTAGCTTTGACCCAACGCTTGAAGTCTCGGCTCCTGTAGATATAAGCGATTCCTCTATGTTTTCTTTTTGACCCCACGACCATTCTCCAGTGCCCATCTTTGGAAAACCAGGCAGTGGTCGGGTCACGAAATGCTGAACCGTTCATGGTATAATCTGGCATTACGACCGGGTTATCGTCTGGTTTAATCCATTCCCTTAGGTATGGGTCAGATGGGTCCTTTGGGATTGCGTAGTTTTGCAACTGAGTCTCGTTTTGGTTAACGCCGGTATAGAGGATAATCGGTCCTTTTCCCGGTACGAGTGTTATTGAACCGGACCATGTACCTTTGATGTCGAACCATTTGGAGGGATAGAGGGCATGTTCAAGAGCCTCCCAATTCACCAAGTCTTTAGACACCGAATGTGCCCACACAATATTACCCCAAACCGCACCTTTGGTGTTATATTGGTAAAAGAGATGGTAGAGACCTTTGTAGTATAAAGGACCTGTTTTTGAAAAAACCCTAATTAGATTTTACTATTGTATACAACAACGATTTATTGTAATATTGGGAAATTACAAAAGTACTAAATTAACAAAAAGAAAAGGTATAGAGAAATAACAATAGTATGTTCTGATAGACTCACCATTTGGATCTGGTGGGAGTGTCGAGAATGTCACATGGAAACACACGAAAACAAAGGAAAAACGAGATTAGTAATTTATGATGACTTCATCATAAATAGATTTCGGTTTTAGGAAAATAGAGTAAGCTGGATAAAAGAGGTTACGGGAACGCGATACAAAAGAATCACATGAAAGTCTTTGGTAGAACAAGTTGAATATGAAATTAAGAGAACGTGAATAAGAGGATAAAGTGTAACAAAGTAAAATTAATACGAAGTAGATCTTTGTATTTATTGTGATTTATTACTCGATCACGATCCATCTCTTCTCCACATAAATATTAACTAATTATCTTTGTTATGTTTCCTTTTTAAGAAAATCTAGCAAGTATCAAATAACATCAAGATCGCCACCACGTAAGAACAAGCAAAGTGATCATCAACACTTTTCTAATTAATTCCCGATTTATATTTATTTATTTAAAAATTAAAGATTTAAAACGATGAATTCCGATTTCCGATAAATATAGATTTAACGAATTATTTATAACGATTTTAACCAAAAACTATTTATAAAAGGTGCACGTTAAGATCTATCATCTAGCGAATATTTTATCTATACAAATGTGTTTATCAGCTAGAAAAATCGTTCTTCCAGAAATTATCTATATTAATGACATGAAAATAAAATAGATTTTGAGAAGCTTGAAACCAACTACATTCTTTTCTACTCACAGACAAAATTTCACTTTTGGCACAAAAGAAATATTTATAGAATCACAGATAAATATAAAAAGCATAGCTGTGTTCTCACGTTATATATGCTGTGTTTCTAAGTGTGAAATATATATATATACCCCATGCAAAATTATTATCTTCTCTCCCTATACATTTAGGTTGTAATTATCAATACGTGATATATGTTTAGGAAATATCATAATCGGATCGGAGAAGAACTTCTTTTGTTTTTGGCTCTCGCTAGATCACGGAAGGAGTTGTATTATATCTTCTCTAAATAATGGTAGTTTTATTGTTTTATCATACAAACTGTAACCATAAAAACAAAAAAATTGGATTCGAAGAATTGAAAATCTTTCATCTAGCTAGATGTAAATAACGTCGTAGTGAAATCAACTTTTAAAACCAGAACAAAAACCTAAAAAAAAACTAAACACTAAAAACGAGAATAGTTAAACACTAAGGACACATATTTCTAAGAAATTATATTTGAAAGAGAGAGATGATGAATGTACCGTTAATCCAATGCTTTGGAGGTTGAAAGTGAAAAGCAGATCTGTGAAGATGAGTCACTGACTCGACTGATTGAGATTGCAATTTTTCGTAAACCTGATGAAAACCGTTAATCCCTTTGATATTATTACTGCTTAAATTGATTAGTAGAAGCAATAATAACACAGAAACATAATTAGAGACACCCATTTGATCCAAAGACTCAGGATCTGTGTGGTGGTTGCTATTTTTTGTGTGTGTGGAAGTGTAGTATACACCAAGTTGAAGAAGGAGAGAGTTTGATACGTGGAAATAGTTTATATAGGCGAAGGATGAGGAGGCTCGATAACAGAAAATCGATAATTTTTAGGATAATGTTAATCCAGTGCGGAGTTTTTTACTCTTGACTAAAATTAGAAAGATATACATCGGATTGATTTTTGATTTTAATGATCTTATAATATTTTTTTTTCTGTATTATCTAAATTGAAAGTTAAATACTACTTAAATGTCTTTGGTCGGGCAGTTTTACTCCTTTTTTCTAGGGCTTTCCCAGGTGTAATTATCCATAGTTTTAATGAATGTCTTAATTAACGAGTTTTATTGGATTATGTTTTTTTTTTCTCCATTACTTATGTGACGATTCGTTGCTCAAGTGAGGAAGATTGATGATTAATTAGTCATTTTATAATTATTATCTTAACTACAACAAACGAGCTTGGCTGCTCTTGTTCAATAGTTGACCAAGTGAACACAATATTTGTATTAGGAATCCAAACTCTTTTTTAAAATAAACTACGATCTGTTTAAAAATTAAATTTCCCGCTATTTTAGTATTAAATGTAAACTGAATCTATGTCCTAAGTTTGGATTTGAAGTTTTATGTAAAGTTAGATATTATCACTAATTTGTTTATTTTGGTGGAATTAAAGTAGAATTAGATATACATATACCCTATGACTATCTTTTTTCATAAGGTGCTAATAATAATGTAATAATTTAGGAGGAAAAAAGTTGCATGTCACAGGTTCGAAGTACGACAATACACTAGTCTAGTCCAAACTGGAATTTTTTGGTCGCAAAATAAGAATTATAATGATAAAATAATAGATGAAAATTTTAGTAGTAGAGGTAAAGTTGTTGATTATCAACAAATTGATGAGTTGTTGTTATTTTCTGTTAAACCAAAAACCAAAAAAGAGGTGGGCACAAGATTTTATATAATATATTTGAAATTTGACTTTGTATGTAACAGAACGATCTAAATCAAAGAACCGGTTTAAACCAGACCATTGAGAGACAATACTCGAGCCATAACAAATCTCATGAGTCATGTCCGGTTATATCTGAGCAATTTGCCTTCACTAGAAAAGGCCATCACATCATTACGCCGAAAAGTGAAGCAAAGATTCTTCGCACAGTTTTAAGTTAACATTTTTAGCAATGGACTTACTTCCACACAAACCCAATTTTCCGGTATGCTTCAAAATCATAACTTTCTTTTCTTTATCATTTCATAATTCCGGTTTTCCTTCAAACCAGAAGAATCCCACAACATGTTGTTGCTAAGTTATGTTGATTCCATTTGCTATAAATGTGAAACATCACTTACAAGACTTTTGAAATGCGTCTTTTTGTGTATATGAGCCTGCGGGGACTATCACCAAAATCTCGGGTCAATGCTAAATGAGGCTAATGCCTAACGCAAATCTTTAACCAATTGTTTTGCTATACATTTAATTGAAGAAACATGAATCAAAAAGAAATGTACTTATGGTTCCACTTTCTAAAATGAATGACCAAAATAACAAAAGCCTTGATATAGAAATCAGATTTGCCATTACCAGTATCACAAATTGTCATTGGAATAAAAACTCCAAGTGAATAGTTGCTGAGTTGTAAAGCTTTTGAACAAACTGCACGAACAAAAAGATTTTTCATAATTACACTCTGAAATGGTAAAATAAGATTCTATGGGAATCTCTCATGCTCATGATTTCCAGAAATTCTCATGGGGAGTGAGAGAAAGATGAATCTTTCAAGTGGCACCGTGACTCAAATGCTACTTGATTTTCTACTTTAAATGTTCATTGTTGGGATTCGAAAGCATCTCCGTGGTTGCGTCATATATAGAAAGCGAATCAAGTGGTATTATGCATGCACATCACAAACAACATGAGCAAAAAGAGTCCAAGATTCGAATCTCGTTGATGTTTTAGAACAAACCCTCTCATAGATCTTAGATTGCTGTCAGAAATTACACTACTGAAATAAGAAAGCATTACACATTAGAATGTAGGTGAAAGAAGTTGAGTCCCACAAGTAAGGGATTAGTTTAAAGACACAAAACTCAGAAAATGTGTCAGAAGCATCTGACTCTTTGTTGATTTTGATCCCACGCTTTCACAAATGTGTACACTAATAATAGTTATACAGACACAGACACTGATTTTCAAGTTTTTAAATACCAAACAGAGAGTAAAGGAACAGAGGTGGTTCCTTAGTTGACTTGTGAGAGAGGCGACCGTGTTAGCTGTTGCGGTTTTGATTCCTTGGACGCAAAGGAGTCGTAAGAGTTGTTTTCGCGGAACTCTTCAAGCAATGTCTCCATTGGCATGGCTCGTAGTGATTCAATGGTGGCTTTGCTTGGGACCTCTGGTTCACTCCTCGATGGAGTTGTCCCTGTGGGCTCATACTCCTGCGATTCACCAAATAGAGAGCTTGGGGATAAGTTTCTTGTAAATAGTGAAGAGAGTAATGTTACTTTACTATGATGTGATGAGGAACAAAAGCTTACCATGTATCTTTGTTGAAAAGTTTCTTGAGCTTTATCCTCAATGCATCTGGTTTGGCAACAATGATCCTGTTGGAAACTTTCAAGAGTTTTTCCATGTGTCTTAACATTCTCCAAGATTTGTGATACAGACGCTTTTTCGTCCTCTGACATGCCTGAAAGATAACAAGGACTCATTAAGAGACCTAAGAGGTGTCTTTAACCAGAGGAACAGTCATGGGTAACAAGAAAGAGATACTCACGATCAATTTGCTGGATTATCTCATCGCTGTTCTTGGTTACATCTTTCTCCGCCGCAGTCCTTGCAGAATCTACTTCTGCATCGTGTTGCTCGTTATTATCACAAGCAGAGTTAACGAGAGAAGAGACATCTGCGACTTGCTTGCTGTTCATCTCCTTTAAAGATTCATGAGTTAACTTGCAGTGTTTGAAAGCTGACTCCGCATGACCCACACTAACGCATAGAAGGATAAAAAGGGTTAAAGACACATTACTGAAAGGTTGTATGTAACTCAAAGAACTGCAAAAAACCATAGCAATGATCTCTCTTACGATTGCTGAAGCAGTAACTCCATTCGACAATGTTTTGCAGCCGAGAAGTCAGCACCTTCTCTGGCGTCATTCTCAGCTTGCATGGAGAATGTCTCCCACTTTCTCTTTGCGTCATTAGTCAGATTATTTACGGCAGAGACGTGTTCATCCAAGAAACTTTTGTTGGAAGAGACGGCATCTTTAAAGTTATGGAGTCTCGAATCCACCTGCCAGGGGAAAAAAACAATACAGTTTAATGTATCATGACGTGGAAGACAAAATGAAATCAATGAAAGAAGAAGCAACGAACCAATTCGTGTTGGCGGCGAATGTGACTTGAGACTAGGTTAGTTAGATCGGCTATGAGTTTCTCTGAATCAGATTTTGACTGAGCCTGCACAACACATGCCAATTATAGGTGGGCTCTCAAGCAAACATGTTGTTAACCACGAAATTTAAAGAGATGTAGTATAATAATGACCTCGTAAGTCTTCTGAAAATCGATAATGCTGCTTATTTGACTGTCATTTGCCTCTGCAGCACGATTCTCAGCATTTTTAGATTCTTGCATAAGCTTCTGAAAGAATGTACTTGTGTATTCAGACATCTCCTGTGTTTTCTCCATTGTTGTGTGGAACTTCTGCGTATTAGGAACAACAGAGAAAAGAATCACGTTAACAGCCTTCTGTAAATCTCCAAGGCCAATGCATAAGCTAACATAAATGTTAAATCTCAGTGCACTGACCTGTCTCAGTTCCCTCGCAAAGAGAGCCATTTCTCCCTGGTGGGACGTAAGAGCATTTTGAAGTTCATCAAATAAGGACGATGTTGTCCCATCCCCTGAAGCAAGAAACTGAAACCGGCAATAAAACTAGTTTTAGAACACACCCAAAAGTCACAACAAGATAAGGAAAGAAATTAACATATGCTTACCTCATCAATGGAACTTGCACTCGAAGTCGTCAATGCTGAAACTTCCTCGAGACAAGCATTTGAGTTAGCCTTGTGCAAGCGGACTACATTCTGCACTGCCTCCAAGTGAGAACTATATAGATCCCTTGAAGCTCGAACCTTCTTTTTCATTTCGAGAATGGCCTGGAAATAATGTCACAAATTTGCAAATAATGTCACAAAGTTAAGACACTATTAGAACATTAACAAAATTTAATGATACCCTTGATTGTTAGAAAACTAAAGAACAAAACAGTTGATACCTTGTTGTGTGCTTCTAAACGAGATTGGGACAGCTTGTTAACACCCTGAAGGTGTGCATTTTGCTGGGACATACATGAAGCAACCTTACTGAACATATTGGAAATTTGTTCAGAAAGTTCTACTTGATAATTATCCACCACTTTTCTGTTATCCGCACTGAGCTTGTCCTCTCTTCCTGCAGAGCGCCAAATTGATCATATTATTAACAATTCTTATGATAACGCTAAGGAAAAAAACAGCCAAAATAGTGAATACACATACCAATTTTTTGGTGTAGTGAAGCGTTGTCTTTAGTAGCTTTCTCTAAGCTGGATTGTAAAATGCAAGCTTGTTGAACCAGTACATTTTCTGGCCATATGCGGAAGCAAGTTAGAGGCAACTTTTCAAGCACAACTATTCAAGCATTTGATTAGAGTAATGATTTAGAAAATACCAGCTTTTTTCTGCTCTGAAATAATGAAATCTTTCTCCTTCATGGCATATTGAGATTTCTTCAGTTCCTCGTTTGTGGAAGCAAGGATTTTGCTTGTTTGGCTCAGGTTTTTCTAGATAGCACAATTGAAGTCTCAGAGAATATTGATATTGTTATAAAAAGCACAAATGCCCATCAAAAGGAAGTAACCAGTACCTCGGTGACATCAAGCCTGCTAGTCAGATCAGAGCACTCCCGCACTTGACCGGTGTACTTGTCTTGCATCTCCTCAAGTTGCTGGTCAGAAAATTTATGTAAA